AAAAGACACTATATCCCACAGGCCTTTAGATCGCTTAGATTGTGTGTATTTTTTTTTCCAACACCTCAATTTTTTTTCTAAGCGATCTAAAGGCCAGTGCTATATCCGAACAGCTATTACACAGACTACCAAATATATCACGGCGTCCCTGAAAGAATTATTTTTAAATATTTCAATAAATTCTAATTTAGTTCAAAGAAAGCCACGCTGTTGTATACAAACATTCTAAAAATAATCTTTCATGTTTCATGGACCGACACGTGGTTAAATTTCCTCTCATCACTATAAGTACCCCCCCCCCCCTTTAACATGTTTAAAATGAATATACAATGTCTTCCTTCTGAGCCGAGAATGTTAGTTGGTTGATTTGTTTTTGTACATGCGTATATACATGTAGATTAAGGCTGGTGTTGAATTCCGAAAGAAAGTCACAACCATTTTTTTATGTAAACCAATAATCATTCTATGCCCCGCCATGAATATGGCTTGTGATATAATGTTTGTCATGTCGGACGTCTTCCATCCTGCCTAATCTCCTTTCGTCACACTTTGCCTTTAGCTAAGTTCAAAGCTCAGTTTCAAACAAACTAACCAAGATATTTTTAAAAATAATCAAACTTCATACACAGTATAGCTGCAGAAAAAAAAAACAGACAGGAGAGTTGTACTGAGCCACCCACTGAAAAAACGGTCCTACTAAACAGAGTACGCTAGTACATATGTACGATAGAAGACTTTAGAGTAAGCTAGTAATAACTGTATATTTATTGCGAAAAAGTTTTTGAAATATTTCTACAAACTGAAAGCCTTTTATTGCCTGACGTCACGCTAAGGATCAATATTTCCTGGGTTCGAAGAGGTCACAGTTAGCCAGCAAAATTTTGTGCATGCTGATTATCATCGGATTTGTTACATGCATTTCAGCAACAACAGTTATCTATTCTGTTAGCAGAAAAATAAACATATTGCTAATACAATACATTGAAGCATTTATTTTCTCTAGCCTTTTGCTAGCATATACCTGGGTATTAATTTCATGCGAGTTCTTATACGGATATATGTCCGTTTGACTTTTTTTCTGCGTTTCTATACTACTGGATTAGTCCATTTGTCTTCTAGGTAAGGGGTGACACTATTATTTCGCGCCAAAATGTCACGTGTAGGTTTTTGCACCCTTTTTCTGGACTATTCTATTGAATGAAAATGAAAACTGCATGAATTATGTAAAGTCTGTTCTTTTTTGTCAGAATCCTGGTCGAGCTTTGGAAAAAAAAAACCCAAACAATTCGGTTACATTGTGAAGTGAGTTAGAAGTTACATCATTTAAAGTAATAAAACATTTGATGTTGACCCCTCATCTCTGGGAAAAACTTCCTGAATCCACACCATGGCATTCATATATCGCCGTCAAGTTTGTTGGGTCATTTAAAGCTTTAATTATTTTTCACACGTTTCCAACAATCTTTGATACTTTGGCATATCCAAGAAACTATCAATCATATTCTACCCGTCAGTCATAATTGTTAGATCCCCAATTTCTTGTAGTTATCATATTTTCAGCTGCCACCTTTATATGTAGCCATGCTTTCAAGCATTAATCAAATGTTTTTTCCTTATTTACGTCATCCTCTAAAACCATTAAGACTTGCAGACAGAGGTGTTCATCTTTACGTCCCGGGTTCGAATCTACAGCGGGACATGATCATGATTTCATTTTTTATGTGAGATACAAACAGTATATATGGTTTATGTTTTGTGCAACATCTCCATAATATACTCCAGTGAAATAATTTAATCCCCCCCCCAATGTAAACGTTTATAGTTTATCATGCTCATAGATTCTATAGATATATTGATGACATTAGTCAGCCAAGCTTTTTAAAAAGCTGTTACTTGTGTTATTATTTGTTTATTTATTCGCGCAAAGGACATTGGGTAGTAAAGGAGCTCTTGGAATGTTGCACAACAAAATTTGCTTGACGTGTGTACAATTCCGAACTTCTTTTCTTGCACGTTATTCTGTTGAGCTCGCTGCGCTCGCTATTATACGGTTCTTGAAAATGAAAGAAACGTCGTAGTCTTTATAAAAAGTAGCCGATTTTCTTGATTGTACAAACATTTTCTAAGAAATTGGGGGGGGGGGGGGTTAAGTTATACAAAGAAAAAAAAAATATGTTTCATTTTAGATTGCCGACGTGCAATGATCTGATACATGTGTACCGTATTTATGAGAGGTTCGTATCTCTTCCCTCGTCTGAAAAGTGTCGCATCCATTGATATTTTCTTTTTTGCTACGATTTAATGGTTTAAAAATGATGTCTTTATTTAATTTGGTTATTTTCGATATATAAATATCTGTCCCACCTGTCTGTGGGATGCGATAGTAAAGTGTCTGCCGTCCGTTCGTCTGTCTAGCTGTCTGTCTGTCTGTAAACAATTTTTCAAAATACTACTCTTCCTACCGTTTTGGTCTGATTTCAATATAACTTGGCACACAAGTACACATCTCTAAGATACATAGTATAGTGCATCGGTTTTTGAATGCTTTAAAATGCGACTTCTTCAACAGTTTTTGTCTGAATTCAATATTGCTTGGCACATAAGTAGCCTTCACTAAGATACAAAATATCGTGCATCCGTTTTTGATTTCGATGAACGGTGTTGCCATGGTTACTAAAAATAGAAATTTCTGTATATAATTCCTTAAAAATGCTATTCCTCCTACAGTTTTAGTTTGATTTCAATATAACTGGACACACAAGTAGACTTCAATGTGATACATAATTAAGTGCATCGTTTTTGATTTCGATGAACGGTGTTGTCATGATTACAAAAAATAGAAATTTATGTGAAATTCCTTTAAAACGCTACTCCTTCTACAGTTTTGGTCTGATGGCAATGGCTAGTTTTCTCTTCCTTTGTTATAAGTACAAACAAGTAGAGCTATATAGTCTCGACATTGTGTTGAACCCAATGAATCATTTTGCCTCGATTATAGTCAGAAAAAAAAAACTCATGGCTGAACATATCCAGTCATTTGGACGAGTCAAGATTAGTGACAGTGAAACTGTAAATTCGCTACCATTTTTCTACTAGTGAAACATTGCTGATATAATGCAGGGTGGGACGTGACCTTGACTCGAGTTCAAAGTCCTAAAGGATAAGATGTTTTTGGTTGGATGCATGGACAGAAAGAATATCTAAATAAAATGTTTGAAATTTTCCAGACGGATAATATTTTTATAACGAGAGCTAGTCATTGCTTAGATCAAGGTCATTTGGAGAGTTCAAGGTCACTTGGAAAGTTCAAGGTCACATATATTCCTTTACAGTCTTTTTCCTAGCTAAACATTGCAAGTTGCTTCTCTTAAAAGGTTTAAATTTTCACTTGTAGAACTTTAGAATGTGGCTTTTGACCTAGACTCAAGGTTACGTCTTCTCCAACGCTCCAACGGAAGACCTATTCGTTGCTTTGCAACGAGCTCGGCTCTAGTTATTAATATTTTAGCAGCAAGCTAGCACAATATTATTTTGCTTGTATAACGAAGGGCAGACGTGATTATGATATTCCATGTTTTCACAGTGATATGGATCCAGAAAAGGGAGGGGGGGTTCCATTTTTTCAATTTGTTAATTACAACGAAGATAGTGTACAGCTTTAAAACGAAAACAGACGATTGAAAGGGGGTGGAATTGGAGATAATAGAAAAAGACCTCTGTTAATACATGTAATTTAATGATATCGAGTAAAGTTTAAGTGATTCATCTTGAAAAAAAATCAATTACCATCTAAAATAATTGCAGTCTTTATGACGTCACAATTGACGTATTTGTATTACTTTTAACGTCATGTTCAAAGACTGACGAAGAGAAATGTAACTTATATGTTTTTTGAGTTTTGAATTCAGATAATATAAATCGAAGATCATGCCTCTCCACAAATTTCGTTTCAAACAAACTACTATTTTTTTAATATATTGTGCGTAATTTTTATACAACTATTGTTATATAAACCAAATATTACCGATGTTTAACAAAACTGGTGAATCTTTGCGACATCAAAATTTAAATGTAAAGGCATATTTCATATTGGCCACACGTATGAACAACGATTATATCAAGCGTGTAGATTCGTATCAGCAATATCTATACACATGGTAAGTATGAAAGTTGTTCTTGACTGTGGCCACACTAAATTTTGGGAAAATCTGTCGAAAAATTGGCATTTTTTAACGTTTTTATGAAACCGTCGCATCTTCAAACCATCGCACGTGCCTAACAGCGCATTATTTAATAAAATCAGTTACGTAAGGAAAAGAAGTATGTTGTCCTCTAATAATTAACGTATAATACCAGCCATGAATAGAAACTCGATTTTTGTGAAAAACACAGGGCCAAATATGATGGTTCGTGGCTTTACCTCTTTATTTCTGAGTGCGGAGACTTACTTAAACATAGCTTCATAAATTGTATTGTTAATCTATAAAGATAAACAAAATTCAACATATCCATTGCTTTTAAAGATGTAACGAGGTCTTATTTGTAAAACGTATAATTGACACCTTATTAGGATTCAGTATCACAAGTGCAGTAAATATAAGTATAAATAGGTCAGATATACGTACATTTTGTCTAGGTCAGATAAATAGCTCAAAACTTAAAGGATGCGATATAGTAAATGAAACACTTCGTTTTTAAAAACAAAGTGAACGAAATAATATCCCCAAACTTGGACCAACATCAAACATTAAATTTACAAAAAATCTTCAAATATCACAAACAACGGAAAAAATTCAGAATGCATAAGTTTCTTGTTTTCACATTTTTTTAAATATTAACCTGTTAATAATATAATACTTTATGTTAAGCATGAAACAATCCTTTAGAGTAATCTAAAACTTATACGGTTAGACAACTTGAAGATAAGGTAAAGAAAACATAGATTAACATGCAACAACACACTTTTCTTTACTTTTAATGATAAAGTAAATAGCCCTTACCTTATGGAGTATCTTGGAGTCTGTATCCCCCTCAGTGAGTTTGACTGATACTCAATTTAATCTTGTACAATGCAGCGCTATCAACTGATATTCGTAGTAAACGTGACTGAGAAGTTTCTTGCCTCGTTAGTCATACCCTTATTATAAAGTCTCGATAATGGCCAACCTCTCGTTCAAGGTCTGCTCCATTTGTTTCTGGTTTAGGGTGGTTGTCCCTCCTTGATTAGGGGCGTTTACTACTCTAAATAGGATACAGCAATAGGCAAAACTTTTGCCAAAAATGGCTTTTTCTTCCATATAGGAATTAGGATTAAGATGATATTTAACAAAATAACAAACTATACGAACAACGACCAAAATTTAGGGAACCCATAATAATACATGTAATAATTATTATTTATATAATTTTATAAATATTATGACATCTGTGGAAGATAATGCCAGGCGATGGGTCAAATATGACAAAGAAAACCTTGACACTTTGTCAGAATGAATTAAAAGTATCAGATGGATGTTGAAATTTCTAGCGATTGAGTAGAAATATAAGATAAATCCATTTAACCTTCTGTATTCCGCAAGACAGAAGTGAAACGAGAATTAGATAAATTACACGATCAGTATGTACTGGTCCCAGCTGGCAAAGTAAGTAACAATTGTCTTTGGTTGTAAGGGTCATTATTTTACTTGTATTCTAGAGGAACTGAAAACAGTATGACATTTAACTCTGGACACGACATAGTCCAGACTTTTTACTACTATTTCTAATCATGATATCAAAAATATTTTTATATCACTTGGTGGGATTTCTTAGCAGTATTCCAGGTTCTCGTGTTGAATTCACAAACATCTCCACTTCTAAAGATAGGAAGTCCTAAAACTCAGAATCCCATGGGAGAATGGTGGGATTTTCAGTCCCACCAATTATCCTACCTTTCTCCCATGGGAGGAAAAATGTCAGATGGGATATTTTCTCCTATGGGATTTCTTCTCCCACATATTTGTTCAAATGGGATAAATCCCACGGAAATTGACAATGAATTATTCTCTCCAATACATTGTTAAAGTTGGAATATATTCTATATATTATACATGTAATTAGAGATTTGGGATATATTCATGTTTCACAATGTATGGGAGAAATTGTTAGATTGTCAATATCCGTGGGAAAAAATCCTAATGGGAGAAAATATCCCATTTGACATTTTTTCTCCTATGGCAGAATAGGGGATAGTTGGTGGGATTGAAAATCTCCCATCGTATTCTGAATTTTAAGAGTGTATACCTTTAGAATTAAGTGGAGATGTATGTGAATTCAACATAAGACCCTGGGATACTGTTAAGAAATCCCACCAAGTGATAAAAAATATTTTAGACATAACAATAACAAATAGCAGTAAAAAGTCTGGACTTTGTCGTGTCTAGAGTTAAATATCGTACTGTTTGAATTAAATCTGCAGATGATGTCAAATTTATACCCAAAGCTTCCTTTCAAAGTAAGAAATTCTTCAAAATCATATGTCAGTTTTAAAAAGTGTTTATAATCACATCACTCGTAATGAATTTGAATTACAATACCTTTATGGGATTCAGATACTTCACAAAAAATCGTTTTAAAGATACAAGAAGGGAATAGGGAATTCCAGGAAATGTTCTACTAAGCCTCTTTCCTTACTCCTCATTAAAATACTATAAGCAATGATAGAGACATTTTACGAGGACTGTACAAAAACATTATTCGAGAAATGGCTAAAAGCAGAAGTGAATACTTCTAAACTCAGAGGAAAAATTTAGAAAGATTGAAATCACATGATTTATCAACATCAATGACATCAAATCATGAGACTTTTCAACACTTGAGACAACTATTTCCTCACGAAAAATTAAATTCCAGGCTTTTTGATATCATAGATACCTGATTTTTCAATAAAAATGGGACTCAAAAGTTAACTTACCTTGTCATTTGCAAAACTGTTTTGTTAAAAACATCATTATGATTGTACGCACAGATACTCTGAAGCTGACATGAAAAAGTTACTCGAGTATCTGACCGACAATACCTTTGGAGTTCTTAAGATCGGATATTCAGCAATCCGTGGGAATATCCTAGGGTATCAAATGGACCAAACATATTTTTCATTTAAAACAGAATTAATTAAGTTTTTAATGCATGGGACGAAAACACTTGATGTGGCCTCCAACTTGACAATTACATTAATAAATCAACAACGTTTTATCAAAGAATGATACATGTATTTACTTCAATTCATAATTCGACTCGATAAACGCCAGGGAAACGAGAAAAAAGATACCAAAGGGTCTTACACATCTGTTTCATATTTCGATATTAAATTACTAGAATAGGATGTTAATGGAAATATGACTTGAATTTCTATTATTAAGTCCCTTACTTATGTAGGCAATATACCATTACATTTGTATTACTTGCATATGGGGTTTATAGTCTTAATACACAAGAGCACGTTCTTCATATGATTTTGAATATGAAAAGGCAAGCTATTGACAAAGAAGTTGATGAATCCAGAGTATTAGCAGGCTTTTTTTTAAAGTAATCATTTAGCAAGTTAGAATTATGGTTTATACAATGACATTGTCAGTGAGTACAGTCTATCATTAAGTGGAAAACTGACTGGATTTTTATTCTTATTGTTAGACCATTATTTAGAAACTGAATTTTTTACGGATTTTTACGGCCGTTTGCCTCACAAGGAGCACACTTTGGATGTGACCGGTCGGTAGGGAATGATAACTCCTATATGACACTTGATCCCACTCTGATGTTTTAGAGGCCCGTGATTGTTTTGCTCTCGATTTGTGTTCTTTCTTTTTACTTTTGAGCCTAAATTCTGATCGTTATCTCCATATCACATAGATTATATGACCTAAAGCATGTTGTTTTTCTTTGAAAAAGAAAGCAAATCTTTCAAAAATTTAAGTCTCGTCAATTATATCCTTTCTCAAATAAAACGTAATTTACACAGAGAATACATGAGGTTCATAATATCCAAGATTCAAATATTCTGTATATCGATTTACAATTTTGATAAACGTTGTGCTATGTAACATCAGAAAAATAATATTTTTTCAAAATGTAAACTCTTTCAGAAATACTCTGTGAATTTTTTTCCTTATTTAATACTGACTAGGGAAAATAATTCGATATCATATTTTTGTTTCCGATGAATGTTGCTTTCCATTTTACAAATAAATGAAGAAAAGTTACTGGGATCTTTGAATCATTCTTTTATCTTCTAAAATAACATACTTCGATCTTTGAAACATTTTAAAAAATAAATATTATTACATGTACCAGAAAACCAAAGAACACACAAGACGATTTTGAAGTAACCTAACAACAAAATGTCTTTATACCATGACCTTTTAGGAATTGATAATTTTTTTTTACTAAGCCAGATAAATCTCGTCTTAACTAGGTAACTAGATTGAAATGATTTATACATGTGTATGTATATAGTGGGTATCCTGTAGATCAGTGACCTGAAATTGGGTATCTTATCTTGTACGGATACATTTGAATGGGGTAGCTTATTTTGTTAGGATTCTTTTGAATGGGGTATCTTTGCTTGAGTGAGGTTTTCTTAGGATGGTACCAACATCGGGCACATGGACTTCTGTCAGTTTTTTTTTTTTGATTTAAAGTAAATCAATTGTAAATGATATCAAACTGCTACATGTAAGAGTGTCGACGGATTAAGAATCGAAATATAAAGGGTCTTGATTTTTCGGTTGAGACTATTTCAGTTAACTTGCAATTGGGTAAATCTACGCGTAAAAGACCATAACAATAATTCTTCATCCATATAATTGAATTTGAAAAAAAAAATGTATGACAAAGAATTGGTTCTAAGATTCCAGTCTTTTCGTTTGAGAAATCCATATACATGTTTATTATATTATCATGTATTAAATATATATTTATTCATATTAAAGACATAGGCAACGGGTTTTGAGCTTGAATTTCTTATAATTTACCGGTGATAGAACTACTAATTTAAAGATCTCTGTGCGATTTTATGATGCGTGGTAATACTGCACACCTTTGTAGGAAATACCATTAACAGCATCTAAATAACTGTTCTTAAAGAAATACATGTCCTAGACTTGCTATACTTTAAAGGTGGCAAGTAAAGCAATTGAAAATAAATCTTGATACATTTATAGATAAAACAACCAAAAAACCTTAAAAATTTGTCATTTTCTTATTGACGTTTTTCACACTGATTGTTGGGCTTTTGTATGTGTGAAAAGAAGAGAATATTTGCTATTGCCTTCAACTCGACATTTAGACTACGTATTGTCAATTAATTGTAATTTCCATTCTTATGTTGATACGATATATCCTGGTGAGCTTGAGATAAAAGATACCACAGAGTCTGACACATGTTTCATATTTTGATATTTTACTTGAAAAAGACGTTAGCGGTAATCTAACAACCAAGCTCTGTGATAAACGTGATGACTTTAACTATTCTATTGTCAACTTCCCTTAATTATGCAACATTCAGCAACAATATACCTTCATCACCTGCATATGGAGTTTATAAATCTCAGTTGATTCGATGAACAATTTCTAAAACGAGGGCAATTATTGACAAACAAGTTGATGAAACAAGAATACCAGCAGTCTCGTTTAAAGTCATCATTTTTGTAAGTTCTATGGTCGATACAATGAAATTGTCAGCAAGTACAATTTATCATTGAATCAAATGCTGACTGACGTTTTTCTTACTAATTGTTTATCCATTATTTATACACTGAATTGACGACGGATTTTTCCGTAATTTCCAGATCATGACAAGGAGCATACGGCGGGTATGACCGGTAGGAAGGGGATGCTCACTCCTCCATGGCACCTCATCCCACCTCTGAGGATGGAGGTCCATGTTTGCTCTGCTCCCGTTTTGTATTGTTTTATGGTTCTATGTTTCCAGCACACTGAATTGTCGATGGCGTTTTTCCCTCTATTTCCCGATCATGACTGACAAGGATCACACGGCGGATGAGACCGGCCAGTGGGGTATGCTCACTCCTCCATGGCACCTGATACCACCTGTGATTTTTTTTTTTTTTTTTTGGAGATCCGTGTTTTTTCTGATCTAAATTTA